ATTTGGGGCTTTTGACATGGGTCCTTCCAGCAGCCTCTCTTCAGGACCCCCTACTCACCTGGGGCCTCTCTCCCCCAAGCCTTCAACCCAGGCTGAACCTACCGCCCAAGGTTGGAAGGAGTAAGCCAGTCTGAGCATCACTTTGTTCCGATCTCCCAGTATCATCATTTCCGCAGCCCAACACGGTAGCATTTAAGACCACACATCACAGGCTTTTCAAAAAAATACAGCTTTTTATTGTCTCGGATGCAAATATAGTTTTAAAACTGCATTGTAGTGTTGAATACAGCTGGTGGAAACGTGCTTCTCGACAGCGGAGCATGAAGGGTGGTGTTCTGGATGGTGCAGCCCCGAGGGAGCCTCCGAGTAACAAGGCTCTTCTCAGGTTTTGCTGTTCGGACCACGAGGGGAAACCGTCTCCTAACGGAGCCCTGACACAATCATCAAAGCTCACAACAGAAAAAACAAACCATTTACACAATGAACTGGAAGCTGGCAAAGGAAGAGAACGCTGTGGTGGCTCAGCCGTGATGTTACAAAATAAGTAGATGAACAAGGTTCCCTTTCGCGGGCCGTCTGAGAAGATTCCGGTAGAGAAACAGCAGGGCGTTGTTGGGGAGAGGCTGTGTTCAAGCTCCCTTGTGAGAAACACAGCCTAGGAATTGTGTGTCCCTGGGCTGACCCCTTCATACCCTTCAACTGCAGGACAAGCTCTACAGAAATGTATCCGTTTCTCCCAAACCCTCCACAATCTCAATCCTTGGGAGGAGCACACCTCTGTTTAGAAACCCAGAAGGCAATTCTTCAAATTAGTGGTGCCCAGGGTTGACTGTGAAACCAAAAGTTTGACTGGGAGATGGAAATGAATTCTGCTACATATCTGGGAAGGAATTTCACAAAAATAAAATTCCATTAAGTAAACACAGGCGGGCTTGTACAAGCACGTGCACATGCGTGCGCGCACACAAAGACACACACACATTGAATCAAAGCCAACATTTAACATGAAAAGTTCCCTTTTCTTTCTCAAAGGCTGATTTTCGCAAACCCCGACAAGGAAACAGCCCCCTGCGTGATGAGCCAGGAAAGCCAAGTCCTCAGAAGGAAAACAAAACGGGGCAGTTTCTGGAGGTACACAGTAAGTCCTAAGGCTTCTCCCTGCTCTTGCCGTCCCTCCGATCCGAGAGGGTCAAGGCCAGGGAGATTACTGAAAGTTACAAACAGGTGTTGAGCTTCCAAGCTCTTCCACCCTCCAACCCCCTTCTCCCCTTGTGCATGTTCAGACGTGGTGAAAATCCTCAACATCCGCGGTATCGGGGCACCGAGGTGAAGACTCGGGCCTGCGGCTGCCAATGCTGCTCACACCAGGGCATCCCAGCTCTCTCCTCCAATGAGACCATGACCGAGGGAGCACTTGGCAAAGCTAAGTTCCCACGAGCGGTGGGTGGGTTTCGTCACTGGCAAAGTGCATAACGGGAAGCAGGGCATCTCTAGGGAAAGGCAACTTTCCACCCGAGAGAGAGGAGAGAGCGGACCAGCTTATCCACGGTGTGGGGGGTCCTGGGCATGGGGCAGGGAGCACTGAGGACAGCCCGGTGCCACGCCGTGTGCTTCAGCTAGACCGTGCCAGCTTGTAATCCTGCAAACAATGGGACTTGCTCCTCGTTCCTCTAGTTCTCAGGTCACTTGCCACCACACCCCTTCACCTGGGTCGAGACAAAGGGGGTTGGCACTACCCTGGGGGGCCATGCTTGCTCAGTCTAAGTTTATATTTCTATCAGCCAGAGCAGGAATACCTTCCGGTCCAACCGTCAGGTCACAAAGGCAGGAAGCGGATGAAGCTGGGTGCCCAAGGGCACATGGGCGACAACTGGCCACCCCTCCTCCTGCAGAGGCTCCAGGAATAGGGTGGCGCTGGGGGTTCCCTGCCCTTCAGTCCTTCCTCCTGACAAGGGCCAGTGACATCCGCTAGCACCTCATTATCTCTAACTTCTGACGCTGGGACCTTTGCTTTCGTGTGAGAAAATCTGGCTGGACAGCAGCGGGGGTGCACGGGCTGGGGCCCCCTGGGGGGGGCGACTGCCAGTGTAACCCGCCTGAGATGGGAGGGACGGGCCCGCCAACTTTCAGAAAGCCCCGCGGTGGCACCTGCCCTGTCCCTGCGTTTCCCACTCATCGTGAAAGAGCAGGCAGGAGTGTGAAGGGGGCTGATGGCACAGAAAGATTTCACAGAAATGCTTTTCAAAGATTTATGTGCCAGACAGGCTTTTTTTTTTTCCCTTTTCAGATTGATTTTTTTTTTTTTTTTTTTTAATTCTCCAAAGTGTCAGCATTTTAAAGTTTCTTTTATGGGAGTAGAGGCAGGAGCAGGGGTGAAAATGAGTGTAAACAAAGCACAGCCCTGTGGGCAGCACGCCCTGAAGGCCTCTGGCAGGGTGGTCTCGCTGTCCCTGCGCCCCCGCTGGGCCCCTCTGTCTGGCCAGATTCATCGGGCAAGATTCCAAAATAAGAAATGATTCTGGGACAAGAAACATGTCTGTGGTAAGAGATACAGCTTTGTGGCCCTATAGCCGTGGTAATCGTGAGCACCAAGAGAAATGGATTTAAGTCAATGTCTCAAAACAAAAACATGCATCTAGTTAACAGTCTGCTAGGACACACACACACACACACACACACACACACACACACCCTTCAAAGTCTCATGTGACCCAACAGCCTTAAATATTTAACAAAACAGAATCATGAACATTAATTCAGCAAAAGGAAGAGAAGGAGAGGTAGGCCGAAGAAGCAAGAGGCCAATTTTATATCCCACAGAGTTTAAAAAAAAAAAAAAAAAAAAAGACTCCACCTGGGCCGTTCCCTGAAGCTCTCGGAATCCGGAGAGGTCTTGGTGGGCCAAGCATTCCGGCCACTCACGTGGTTTACAAAGGCACAGGAACTGGGGAAGGGACGGAGCTCATGACCCCCCACAAG